CTTGCCCGATAGAGAATTACCTAGTTTTTATTTGGCGTTTCAGCAACTTTGGATGGGAGTTTAGGATTTGTGCTTCCAGTTCCTGAGAAAACTTATCGTCGTCTCCTTATGCTACAGAATGTCCTGGTCACCCACATTCCTCACACTGCTGGTCTTAATCCAAAGGCCTTTAGGTATTTAATATCAGTTGAACTTTTTGGCCCCATAGAAAGATGCTTAAGATTTTTAATATTGTCATATTTACCCTGAAGTTACGACTATAAATACATTTTTTGCTTTTTTTATGCTAATAATTTTGATCAGGTCTGTGTATTAGAGAAATTATAAAAAAATCTAAAAGTTTATAAATACTATAATTCTCTACTGCAGAGTTTTTAGTGTCTCTGAACAATCTTGAAAGTCATAAAATGAAGCGGCAATTTTTGAGGTTTACCAAATCTTTGACTTTTCAGAAAAGTATGAATTTTAAATGAATGTGAATATTTCCTTATTTGTGACATAACTTTTTATCTTATGTTGGAATCAAAATTTCATTTCATGAATTTTTGCATTATTGCTTCATATTATAAACCAGTGTACTCTTGATTATTAGGTTTTGTTACATCAGTATTTCTATCAGTTTACTACTTACAACTTGTGTTTACAGATCCATAGTTGATAATCTACTGCTCAGACTTTGTCTAACACTGTAATGAAGTAATAGGGTCAAGGTAATAGAATACTATGTGTAATTTTTCCATACACGCATACATTTATGTATATATTAATCACAGGATACATCGTAGTCATCGAAGGTTCTTAGTTAATCCTCACAAGAATGTCCTTGATGGTGACTTACTGTGGAAATTCCTAAACCTCTCTGTACTAGAGAAGACAGAATTGGCTAAGAAAATTGGAACCACTACAGAACAGGTAAGACTTGTTTCAGAAGTGTTTACTACTATGGAAGAAGTGAATGTTCATGTATCAGTAAAACTAAAGTATAGTTGTTTCATTCATTTGGTAAATGTTGCTCATTCATACATAAGAGCTTTAACATTTCATAGTACTAGTAATACCTTTTTTGTTGTTTTTTTTTACTGTAAGTGTAATATTACAAGACATTATATGAAAGGCTTTGCAGCTCATTTTGGAGGGAAGGTAACTTATGTCATTGTTCCATTATCAGTAATTAACATACTTCATTCTGCTATTATTCTTCAGTCGAAAATCCTTCTTATAGCCTTAAAAGATAACAGATGTCTTTTTATAGAAACTTTCATTGTAAAAATCAGCCGATCTCTGTTTACAATTAAAAGAAATGCAACATTAAAATCATTACACAATAAATATTTAGTTATTTAAATGTTCAACTTGTTTTTAATTCTCTGTAGATCACAGAAGACATTGTGGAGATCAGTCGCTACACTGCCCATTTCTGATCTTGGGTTTGATAATTGCTGGTGTAGAAGTTTTAGTCTACATGTATTTGTAAATAAGACACTAAACTGATATTACAAATAAATTTTTCAACTTTTGTACCAAAGTATTTAATATTAAAGTGGTTGTAAGTTGGTCATTTTCTTCCTCATGGAGATATAATTTAACTAAGAAATTGTAATGGTCAAGTACCATCATTGCTAACCTACTCCTTACAACCTCATGTCACAAACCTATATATACTTTTCTTGCTAAGCAACATGACATAAAAGTCATTGTTCGAATGCATTGTTACCAAAATGCACTGGCTTTTCTATATATTAGTTATATACGGAACCACTTATTTTCTATGTGGTTTTTTGCTAGCTTATACATGTGGGGTCCACTTAGTATGGGTGCAAAATTTCAGGTTCATTCCTATTGAAGCTATGGTGGTCACATAATAATATGGTGGTCTGTCTGTGATTTCTATTTGTAATATAAGGAACCACCTCAGTAGTTTTTCACTAGCTTGCCTCATTAAAAATATGCACGTGGATAAGATAAATAATAATATCCAGGTTTCTAGGCTCTTTCCTTTTGGAGATATGATCACACACACAGACACGTCTTTTTATTATTATAGATTTGTCTCTGAAAGATGTGGGTAAACACCACAGTCTTAATGAAGATCACATGTACCTTAACACCAACGTCAAATATATTTAATATTGACTTTGTATACAGCAAAACCTAGATTTTTTTCTCTTCATTGTCATATTTTGCCATTCTCATTCGTAACTACATGAATAAGTTTGATGAGGCTCTGAACAGTTGTTATGACTGCATTGTATAACATTTCATAAACTACTATGTTGACTGTCTTCCACAGGTTATTATACATTTGTTATCTGCTATATCTCTAACAGTAATTCATGAACTAATTATTAGATGTATTTTTACAGGGTCCCTGAAAATATTCTGCTTCAAAAGTAAATAAAACCCAAATTAAGAGTAATAAATATTTTTTTTTATTTCTTGCCTTTGAAGTTCATGTGTCATGGTGTATTGGTTCATATCATGCAGATGTTTTACAATGATACAAATTGTAATGTTAAGCATCCCTTATGTGACGTCATTTTATTTTTTGGAAACGCTCTTTTATATACACTTACTTCTATGTATGACATGAATAACCAATCGGAAGTTCAGAATGTACCCCTAGTGGCTTTCTCAGCCATTTTAATGGGCTTGGCACCATTTCAATGAGGTAGTGTGTGTCTTTAATCTGCTCAAAATTATTTTTTCGACTAACATACAGCTTAGTTACTAAGTTTGATAAATTATAGTAGAATTCTATGGTATTGATGCAGTAATTTAGGATTTTTTAGTTATTCAAAAGTATATATGAAACCAAAAAAAAAATATTTTGTTTCATATCCTTCACGTGCAAAATTTTTAAAGGCTTAGCAATCGAGTACAAAGATCATAACTAGAAGAGATAATTGTTTACTTTACTGTTCTATGTTTTAGGAAAATATGTTTAAGAACTTATTTCAAAATAGCAATC